GGGGGGGGGATTACGAGGGGGGGGGGCAGTAGGTGGCAGCAGCGCGACACAAAAGGATGGGACATCCACGTAAGAATGCAGAATAATTTAACATGTTTATCATTCTTTCATCCTCCTCCACTTTTACAATCCCTTCTAGGAGATGATTGGACGGAACCGATGCCTCAACATGAACGCACCATAGGGAAGGACCGGGAATCTAACCAGCAAACCTGCCATCCCTCCATTAGGCGAGGGCCCTAACCAACGTCACCCTTCCTGTTTCAACATCCAAAGTAAACATGTCTTGGCACAGCCTTGTTGGGGGTGAACAGCTCCACAGCACAGCCGAGCTCAGCACTGTCTGTAGTATCTCAGTATCTGTACACAGTAATACTGCAAATACACTGAACGTCTAGTCAACAGAACCTGAGAGGGTGAGCACGGCACCTCTTCAGCACCCCCTACAGGAGAGAGGGAGGCTGTTGTTTGTAGACCATGAGAAACCAGTTCTGCATACTTTACAGTGACAGAGTTTGATCACATGGTACATTGACCTCTGACCCTCAGTTTGAAGAGTGAAGCTCTGCATGAGGGTCTAGACCCCCCCTCCCTCTGACCCCCCCTCCCTCTGACCCCCCAACATATCGGTGGAGGACAGAGAAGTTCAACACATCTGAGAAACTACTGTGGTTTTTAGACTTTGGTTCATAATAATCATTCACATACTGAAACATCAGCTCTAACTGTGAGTACACGTGAGTACACGTGAATACACGTGAGTACACGTGAGTATATGTGTGTATACATACACTGACGATCCGCTCGTGTGTGCCGTCCGGAGAGACGACGGTTCCGTTGAGTCCGACCAGTGAAGGCAGAGTCTGGGACATCCAGTTAGTGACCATGGCCATGGTGCTGAGCACGGCACCGATCTTCAACATGGGAACGCTCATCCTGACACACACACACACACACACACTGACAGAAGACACAAAGTCCGACTGTGTCTCACCAACTGTTGGCAGCAGCCACGCTTCACAGAGAGAGAGAAAAAAAACAACCCCAAATCTCAGGGCAGGTGCACAGAGACGTGTCGTCCTCCCAGACTCCTCTTCATCAGCTGGACCCCCCCACGGTCCAGTGTCTCTGGGACAGATCCACTGATGTCCACAGGCTCCACTTCCTCTGAGCCACAGGTTAGAGAGACAATCCTGAAGGACCGGCCGTCACAGACGGGAAAATACAACCATCAACCATCCAACCATCAACCATCCAACCATCAACCATCCAACCCTCCAGGTGGCAGGAGCTGCTCCTGGGAACAGCCGTCTCGGTCTCCCTGACCACCGTGTGCTTCTGTGGTCTGTGCTTCTGTCTCCTCCTCTGGCAGTAACGCTGCTGTGACTGAGTCAGTGCTGCTCTCTCATTTATCCACTAACTCCCTCCCTCCTCCTCTCTCTTCTCTCCTCCCTCCTCCTCCTCAGAATCACTCCTGTCTTCCTCAGCAGCATCTGCTTGAACACAATATTTTCATTAATTCCACACCAACAGGACTCCCTCCCTCCCTTCCTTCCCCCTCCCTCCCCCCTCTCTCTCTTCTTCCTCTTCCATCCACTCTTTTCTTTTCTTTTTTTTAACGACACTGATCAGATCTTCAGACCTACAGGAGCTGCTGCTCTGAGATGAACTCTCCATTCCTTCCTGTGGGCTGTGCCCAGCACACGCTGGAAACTAACGCTACAGTGCCCCCGTGTGGCGGCGACACCGCACGGCCCTCGACTCTATATTAAAGCAGCTTCGCAGCACAGTGGACGTGAACTTTACAAGATGTTCGTTTTATTAAATCTGTGTCCACGGAGTTTCCATGGAAACAGCGACATCTGGAAGTCTAAATAATCCACGGTGGTTTCTCTCCTCTCTTCCTCTCAGTGCAGCAGAGTGAGTGTTTGACACAGCGGTTCATCAGCAGCGCGTGGATCCAAGTGGACGTTGTATCGGTCGGTTTCATTTCCTCGACTTCCATCGAACAATCATCAATTTAGTGACTTTGGTGTCTGTAGAAATGAAAATAAAATATATGTTTATTGAAACTGTGACTGAGCAGCAGCAGCAACAACAACAGCAGCAGCAACAGCAGCAGCAGTAATAACAGCAACAGCAACAGCAGGAAA